ATTCTCGATATATCTATACTTAGTGCACACTCAGAGATGATGTACATAATAATGGTTGTTACGGTATACCTCCCACGTAAATCCATGTTTCTTAACAAACGCAATGCAGATTTCGATGTGTTAAAAATTGAAATTGAAAAAAAATATTGAACCTTTATTCTTCTTCTGATGCATAACGAAACAATTAATGCATTAGAGCTCGAAAAATGTACAAAATCAAAATAAAATGAAATTCCGCGTAAATTTCCAGCAAATCTATGGCTACCATGAATTATTTCTTAAAGGCATATACAATACAGTTACAGGGGAGTTAATGATTTTGCTTACGTAAAATGTTATTTTCACGACGTCAAACTGTGACATATCGGGAAAAGATGCATTTTTCGACTGTGTTTTTTTATGATTTAAACTGATTTAACTTGAAAACGAGTACATGGACCCCTCTTTTTTAAAATAGCATTAGGTATGAAGATTATTTGTACCAATTTTAATGAAAAATTCAACGATCTTCTTTTTTTAATTTGATAAATATACTGCAAAAAATGCCGTTTTTTCCCTAAAATCCTGAAACTTTGTTAAAAATTAATTATTTCCAAAACATTGTTGTACATGTTAAGATTATATTTATGTTAAGAAGATTTTCATAATGTTTTTACAAAAATCCGCTTGTGTTTATCTGTTGAAATAAAAAAGTTAGGTGTGTCAATCCAAAGGATAGAAATGTCCAAAAAACGAAATTTTGAGTAAATGTCTAAAATTGCGACCCCTTTTATATCTTAAAGTAGCACATGAAGGTATATCTTTTATTACATATTTAAAAATATGCAAATTTCGTAAAAAATTTATCGTTGGATCGAAACTGTATCGTATGCCCTTAAGTAAACGATAACAGTAAATAACCGCATTTTCCATCTGGTTTTACTTTTCACTATACTTAAGTTCAATAATACGACGTCATAGTTTCACAAAGGGGTGTTAACTTTTACAACCTAAGCAAAAACAAAGTACGAATTAACAACGATACAAAAAAAAACATTAAATACGGATCGTAGCTTTTTTGCGCAGGTGTGAATTTTCGAAAAATTAAATTGCCTTTAAAGTCCTAAAAAATTCTTGTAATATATATGTTGAAGAAATTATTGAACCAATGTCTGCATGTATATTAAAGTATGTACTCTGCACATGTTTTTACATTTATTACGAATCAATACGGTATAATCGACAAAAAAATGTTTCTTTATGTGATTTTTGATCGAAAACTTTTGAACAGATATATCATGTTAAGGAGGGGTATTTGCGAAAAATACCAGTCGAGAGAATGTTAAATTTCGCGAGCCGTAAGGCGAGGGAAATTCATTCTCAAGACTGGTATTTTTCGCAAATACCCCTCAAGAACATGCTTTATCTGTTTAATTACACCGACTGTTAACGTACAAAACGCATTGATGATCGTGACATAAAACGCATTGATGATCGTGACATTACAAGCGTCCAGTCGGATAGAGTATTTTTTGGCAAATACCACGGCAGAGAGGGTAAAAAAGGCTTATCCTTTTTTGCATATACCTCGGCGCTGTTTAAAAATGAACGATATTCATTTGATAAAAGTAAATTGGTGAAAAATACACTGGCTATCAACCAATCAAAACCCAGTATTCTTACATAAGGTGTAATTAACTTGCAAATTAACCTTCGGTGTTATGTACCGACGAAGTTTACCTATCGTTACCACCTTTTGATAAACAATCAACACAAAATCATGAAACACGTGCAAATAAGTGAGATGATAGAACGATATTTTATTATATTGTCTTTTCTGTTTTCCGTGTGTTTCCATTTGTTAATTAGATTTAGTCATAACAGTTGTTAAACTTTTTGGTGGATTATTTTAGAATAGGTAAATACTATTTTAGTTCCATGTTTGTTTACCTTTTCTTTCATCGTGGGTTTTCCGTTGTATTTGCGCCTCTCCAACAAATGATTTCTGTTATAAGCCTATTTATTGTATTAATTGTAGCCTGTTAATCAGGTAGAGCATGCATGTAGGTTTGGGCGATTTAATGAATATGTCCGTATATTTCCAGGAGTAATAAAATTGCTTTTTTCGTAATTTTGGATCGGCATGGGAAAACCTGCTACAGTTTGTAACGCTCTGCTTTTTAGACGGGATTTTAAGTAGTTAAATTTATGTACATTACTGAGTGTAGGATTTGTGGGGATCGCCGTCTCATAGGAGTCCCAAAATCATTGCCAGTCTAATATTACTCCAGTAAATATAGGCAAATTTAACTTTGGTAGCTTGTAATACTCGCTGTATGTGCTAGACGCCGCTTGTGAATTTAGGGTGTGTGCATATTGTTAATTTGCTCCTGTTGAGGGTTGGCAATTACATGTAGATGGAACTGATTGTGTATGCGGTATAAAACTATCGGAATTAGGGTTCAAACTCAATGAAATTGATTCATTTGCTGGTAAGCTCTGATTTTGAAATGACTTTGCTAATTTTGTAATCTGCCGAAGTTTATTATAAATTGAACGTGTACTGAGTCCTGTATTTCCATTGCTACATCTTTGTCCGAAGTTTGTTCTTAGATGTTCTCGTTGATGCTCTCTAAAATTCTTTTCATCTTCTAATAACGTTGAAATTTCCTCACAATCCGCGTCGGAACTTTAGTGAAATTCTTCAAATTTCATTAGGAGTTTCGTACTACCTCTGTGTCAGGCTCGTACGGCTTTCAACTTCGCTTCCATTATTTCATTTGGTCACGGCACCAATATTGAGAATAGTGGCTAAGATATTGAACAATGTATAATGGCATGAACTTAAGGACAGAAGTTTTGCTAGTATGTATTGAGAAAGCTAAAGGGAGTACGTCAACGATAGTGACATTACAATAGACTGTTTTCACATTACCGACTTTTGACTCCGGATTATATAATTTCTTGACAGATTACCTACTCTCTGGTAGGACATCTTGGTACGCGGTCAAGTAGGGCCAACCAAAAAAGTAAAATCATACATATAATCGGTGCAGTTTGGGGGGAAAGTGAACAGTTTTGCGATAATTTTTGTCGTGTTTAGAAAATATAAAACAGATAATTTTCCGCCCAAATCGTACCTAGTGTAGTAAGCTTGATTTTACTTTTTTAACTATCTCTTACTTGACCAAGTACCAGAATGTCCTACACGTGTACCACAGAGTAGGTAACCTGTTGAAAAAATATAAATTCCGGAGTCAAAAGTCGGTAATAGTCTTTTAAGCGTCGCACAATACTGTACGTCTTGTATTTGGACTTCACAACAATTGTAGATTGAACTTATAGCTGATTTCCAACACAAGTGGGTTTTTTCCAAAATCAAAAGACAGTAAATAAAACGAACGAAACTTTTCACAACGGTATTTTGTTTTAGTTACAAGGCGATACTGGTTGGATAGAATCAACACTGCAGAATTTTGCTGATTCATGCTTACAACAGGCTAGTAGAATGGAGAACTTAACAGTAACGAATAGCACAGCGTCAAACGGAGAGACAAAATCAATATTTAGTATAATTGCTGAATCAACATGTCCTGGAAATTGTTCTGAACGAGGAATTTGTGTAAATGGTAAATTATGTAGTCAAATATTCGATTGTTATGGTTCATAAGCATCAAATATATAAAATAGGTCAAATCAGCTCTCAAACAAATACCTAGCCAACAATCTGATTTCAATTTCAGTTACTGAAAGAATGTCAATTGTACATTGGAGAGACTTGAATCGTACCGATGTGTTTGATTTAAAAGAAAACAAATCTTGACACTCTAAACAATAATGGCACAACTATAATATCACAAAGACAACATGTACAAATATATAAATATAAGGCAAGAAATTACATAGGATTGCTGAATATAACGAACAGTTACATGTATGATGCTGATGATATCATTAGATGATACAAAATATTAGAATATACCCAAAAACAGCCTCGAAATTAAAAGGTTGTCCGGATATGGTAACATATCAAACCATCGGTTGAAACCTTGTGGATTTCAAAATGTGCAATACCTACACATTTTATTAATCTATAAAAGACCCAGTAAGACATTGCTGAAATTACAGTACTATTTATGCTTGAAATAATAATGAAAAAATAATCATGACTCCAATCAATTATTTGGACGTATACTACCTGATTTATTATGTAAACCCTACCTCCGGGTCTTAAACAGTTAAATTTGAAAATCAACAAAAATACTTGACTTTATATATCTTGTTGCAGCTGTTTGAATAAAAGGTTTATATTGGTTTTCACAGGAATATGTAATTGTACAACTGGTTATTATGGGCCATCGTGCTCCATGGACAAGTCTCATCCGCCTTCAATTGTAGCTGATGCGTTTGAAGGAAAATGTGACACACAAAAAAGACCATGTAAAAAATTCATAATTCCTGGAAGCGATTTTATAGATGAAACACTTACTTGCAGATTTTCGCAGTTTTCGGTATACATTTTTAGTATAAATTTTATTTATAAATATATATACTACGCTCGCATTAGTCTAGAGTCCTTGTCCATTTGGCTTCGAAATATAGATTTCGTCAGTCCAGTCTTTTACTTCAACGATTTCTCATATCAGACTGTATCGTTGCACAAGTATTAAAACTTTCATAAAATAAATATTTTCCACTATTTGTAGCATCCCCAATTCTAGACAATCCGATAAATGTAAAATTTGCTGGTTGGTCGTTTTCATAGACTTTATTTAGACTTTTAATTTTTTTTTATTCGAGCGTCACTGATGAGTCTTTTGTAGACAAAACGCGCTTAAGTCTTACAAACTTTAATGCCTGGTGTTTATGATTAGTTTATTTGTCGTACAAATGTGTATGCGGAGGTGAATTTATATTACTTATGACTTATGTTGCAGAACAACTTCATGCATAGCGTCTCTTGATTTTTGTTGTGATGGCAAAAGCATATATTTATAATTATATTTTTTTTCCATATGAAACAGAACGGGCCAAAAACTTCTTTTGTAACAGATGATATTTTTATACATCCTGGAACATACAGCAGTGCATTTCTGATGTACTGTGAACTGCCCACTTCTAGACGTAAAAAATCAGTCGAAAATACAGAAGATCTGATTGGATATAATATTTCAGTTTCTAATAATGGTGTAGATTTCACTGATGAACTTACGACGATTATCTATGACCCGCTATGTTATGAATGCAATATTACATCGATATCATGTGTTGAATTGGTAACTATTTATAGAAATTGCTATTATCGATGGACAATTTTTCACGAAACGTCTATTTAAATGAAATATAACATTATTTTAAATTGAACAAAACATTATTGTCAATGTGGATGAGCAGAACAATATGTACCTTAGAAAAACAGTTTTCTAATATAAGGGAATTTAAAGCATTTTACTTCTTAGAAGAGAGGCGAAGATACCAGAGGGAAATTCATACTCATGAGTCGAAAATACACTACCAACGCCATGGCTAAATAAGAAAAAGACCAACAGACAAACAAAAGTACAACAAGCACAACATAGAAAACTAAAGACTGAGCTACATGAACCCCGACAAAACTGGGGTGATCTCATGTACTCCGGAAAGCTAAGAAGATCCTGATCCACATGTGACACCCGTCGTGTTACTCCTGGTACTTTGATAAGTTAAATCAAATGATTAGGGGTGGGGGGAATCACAAAATAGCAGATTGGTAATAGATTCTTATCTAATCCCTAATCCTAAGACATCACCAAATTAATAAATCGTCAGTAAAGTAAATGTTCTAACCATGAAATTTTACCGACTTTGAAAATTTGAAATAGATGTATGTCATGACAAAGGATAGACGAGACTGTTACCGGTATAAACAACACAGACATTGAAAAAGTAAAAAAACACAAAGAATAACACTTAAAACTAAAGCAAAAGCTACATGAACCCCTTTAAAACAAAACTAGAGGTGATCTCAGGTGCTCTGGAAGGGTAAGCAGATATTGCTCCACATGTTGCACATTGCACAAAATAATATGTTGTCCCTATATAATTTCATCTACAACAAATCGAACATTAAAAATGTTCCTTCAGAGTTGGTCGACCAAATGTAGGACGGGAAAATCGTGCACGTCTGATAGGATCAATAATTTGATTAGTCATATGCCAACACCAATATCATGTCAGATTTGTTTTCATTTGAAGTGTAAATCGTAGTTAGGTGGAAAATGTTGGTATAGATATCGTCCACGAGGCATGGGGTTAAAAATAACTATTCCGACCTTAAATGACTGCCAAAAAAAAAGACGAAGATACTAAGTGGCAATTCAAAGACGAGCGAAAAACTGACAACGACACGATAAACCAAAGACGTTCAAAAGACAAAGACAAACAGGCTCACAACACACTTCATAAAAAACTAAAAATTGTGCAAAATGAACCCCGCAAGAAAAATGGAGGGTGTCTGATCTCAGGTATTCCAAAAGGGTAAGCAGATCGTGCTACACTAGTGGCACTCGTCGTAAGCTTGCTACTCATGATAAGTACTAATTCGGTGATGAGTCTCATTCGTCGAGGAACAGAGGACGGGAATGTGGTTAGAACTCAAACATATCCATGGTAATCTGTGACACAGATGTTATGTAATGATCAACCAACTCGTACGCGTAATGTCTTCAATTTTACCACTTATTCAAAATGCAAATATGTACATCCCACACAGTAAAAGTTAAGCAGAAGGGACGTAATTCTTATAAAATGCGCCAAGCTTATATAGAACGTTGTATGTTTTAAAACTTTTTTATTGATTGTCAAACTGTAAATATTTTAAAGGCGGTAATATTTTACTCATTTTCATTTCAAAAACCTGCTTAAAACAATTGAAACAAACCATATATTTTAGGACACCTGTCAAACAAAAACCGGGGGTAAGTACTTACTTTTTTAGAGTAATATTTCTTTTTTTTTTCTTATAATTTTGTTTGTTAAGATTTCGATAATTCAAGTGTCGGTTTGTATCTTGTTTAATGAATATATATTTATATCAATAAATAAAATTCAGAATTAAAAGAAAACTATTACTAGTAAGCACAAAGTCCTATTCTCACCGCCCATCATATATGGATATATCAACAAATTTGACAACTCGAAAAAAAAAAAAAATTGCCACGCGCACGTAGTCGGCCAGAAAATGCAATACAGGAAAAAAAGTATCCACGAAAATTAACTGGTTCACAATATGTATGTATCATGCACTGTACTAGACCGACACGCTACTTTGATTTTAAACCGGTTAGTTCATAAAGTAGCAGTTCGCAGTAAGACATATCATATAATTGTTGCTTATCTTTTCGTTGTTTTTATGTATTGTCTGCTTTTATTGGTCTTTGGTTGTTCACTCTCCTTTAAAACACACCATGAGCTCACAAGTATTTGGTCTTACTATTCAAGAGTACGACATGGAAAAGCAACACTTATCAATTTTCAGCTGTTTAGTTAAACCCTGCCAGGGATGGAATCAACGGGCTCCCAAACTCCATTCGGGCATGCTACAAAGATAATACTGCGGTCGGTAATATTTTTATTTGATGTTTGCTTTTCGAGCCGAAAATATTATTAATCAGCTGAGTCAACACATTCAGTCCGTATCATACAATATTTTTTTACGAAAAAAAAAATAACTGTATATTTTTACAAAATGCATTGTACCGAAGACCTCAGCGAGACTAGTGCAAGTTGTAATCTAAGTAAAGGTTCCAGTATATATTATGTTCATGAAAAATTATAGATATATTTTGAACTTGAAATTTCTTTTCTCTTTCTTTTAGAACCATCTGTGGAGTCCAAACTGAGTACTTGGGTTATCGTTTTGGTAGTATTAAGTTCAATTATTTTAGTGATTTCTATTGGATTTTACTGCGTCCGTAAGAACGTAAGATTAGGGTAAGTATGTTGTTCTTAAAATATATAACTAAGATGATGCTGAATCAAATAAACCTTTATTGAAAGGTATATTATGTACCTATTTGTTATTCGACTGATTTGTATTAAAAGAGGCGGGTTAAGTAACCACCAACATGTTCATGTGCCTTTCCCAAGGCAGGGATCTTGTTAGTGGTTATCTTATTGCTTATAACATACTTGTTTTGATGGAAAACTTCATTTTGATGGGAGGGATTCATTTACATTTTTGTTTTACTCGGGTTGATTTGTATTTTTTAGAAATACGGAAGTCTTTGTCTACTTCCGACCGTCAGTAAATCCTTTCCAAAGAGAAAGTCGGGCGTCCATTTTGCCATGCAGGATACATAAATTCGCATCCACGTCTGTTTAGAATGGTAACGTTTAAAGATTACATCTTTAAATTGAATGTCTCGCGAAGAGAGATCGCGATTTCTATAACGTGAAAGAACCATTGGAACATCTCTATGACTTGTTTCAAAGCAAATTTCTGCCCCTATCTAACACACCATTGTTTCCCAGGGCAGTTCAAATTTGCTGCACTTCTTCCATGGCGTCCCACTGGACCTTTTTTTCTATCTATTGTTAATAATTTCTCGTCCTGGATGTGCTTAAAATAGCTGCCTCTGGTCGTTAGGCAAGCAACAATCAACCAATTAGTAGTAAATGTGTGGTAACATGTATACCAATGTTAAATAAAAATGAGAATATCGAATGTATAACCATTTTGGGTGAAATCAGTAGCCATACATTATGGAATAACTGTGTCATAGACGAAAAAAGCATAACAAAAATGCCGAACTCAAAATCAAATTCAAAAAGGGGAAGTCCATAAAAACTGACAACATCAAACGCCATAAGTAAAAAACAACTGTTATACTCCTGACTTGGTATAGGCATTTATTTTTTATTATCATGACCATGGATTATCTTCCAACTGTCGTTACCACAATCTCGTCCTCTTTTCTTCGATTGTGACATCACCGAATGAGACTGATCATCGATGTGTACTATAGACATTTTTAACTGTCGTCTACACAGACAGTTACACCGACACCGATACAAAAATAGAGGGACCGTGTCAAAATGTAGAAATGTACTGAATGAATGACCTTGCAGAGATAAACATTTAAACTGTAATTTTTTTTAAGCAATTTTTTATTCGGAATCGGAGCTAGAAACATCGAATGCTCTCATTGGTTTTGAATTATTTTTAAAAGTTCTGAATTTTTTAATATTCGTTCATGAGTTGAATATTTTTTCGATATTGGAATTCTTTGATTTGTTTTTTTCTTTTTATTATATTGACAATGGGCTTTTTAATGTAAAAAAAAAGGTAGAAAATACAAGGAACTAAATTTGTGTACATCAACAATTCTTAGGATTTGTAAAGGACGCTTTGGTGACGGAAGTAGAAAATATGAATTTAAAAATAAAAAAATGCGAAAGTAGAATAAAAAGCAAAAATTACAAAAAACAAATAAATTTTGCTATAAGATGCACTACACATTCCTGTTTTTGTTTTAAAGTTCTACTAAGTGACAAAGCTCCCTCTTTTTTTTTACAAAGGACAATATTAAGATCGGTCAATAACCAGCAACAGTTTTTTTATTTAACAGAGCCAATAAAGTAGCAAATCATTCAAAATAAATATTTTATACAGTATTTAAAACATGTAAATTAGAAAAAAAATGTGCATGTGTTTGTTGTACACATTTAGATTACCCCTTCTCAAAAAGGTTATATGTCGTCATAGGCATTGGTGAAAGCGTCGGCATCGAATAGTTTTCGAAATTGTCTATTGGCAACATCACGGGAATACCTTGTGGAGCAGGATCTGCTTTACCTTCCGGAACATCTGAGATCATCTCAGTTTTTGGTGGGCTTCGTGTTTCTCCTTTATTATTTATTTTTTTTATTTTGTTGTAAACTTGTTTGTCTTTTTGTCGTCTTTCGTTTTTCGCCATGGCATTGTCAGTATCTCTTCGATTTATGAACTTTGAATGTCTCCTCGGTATCTTTCACCTCAATTTTATTTAAATGACTGTGTTGCAATTTAAATTTAAAGGTGTCTGCATTACTAAAAAATGTATTGCTTTATATCCTTTTTTTTAATATTGTCTTAACATTTTTTTTTCTGTTTCAGAAAGCAAGTCCCATATGTTACAGATTCAACTGTTGCATTGCCAAATAGATATGACCATGCACAATCGATACCACCAACAAAACATGACGACATTTTTCTCGCTACCCAGTCAAGAAATAACACAGAATTGTAAATTGAACCAGAAAAAGAACCAAATGTCATTTTGATACAAAACTTTTTTTTATAAATTCTTTTTATAAGCTTTGTTTAACCGAAGATATTATGTCATCAAATATTATAAATATGTTTGATTGCGTGATGCTATTTTGTTTCATCTCAAAACTCTTCAAAAATGAAAAAAGCATGTCTATCAGTCTGTTATGTTTTTATTTTGGGAGGCTTTTTTCTATAAAGTATTTATTCACTTTTTTATTATGTGTATTGTACGGTTTTAAGTAAGAAACTAAGGTTCGAACACCCTGAGGGAAACTTGACTTTAGGTAGATTATGCTATTCTTGTTTAGTCATACAGCTCCTTAAGTTTTCATGTGTTTGTATATCTTTGGCTGTCCCGATTTTTAGCTTCGAGTGCTTAATACTAAAAAAGGTGAATCCAGAAAAGCATCTTGGAAGCACAAAATCCAAAAAGTGTTTGTTACAGACCTTGTCTAGCACTAGATCGATACCACAGCTGGTGGTCCGATACGTAGATTATCAAAAGAACAGTAGTCAGTTTATTTTAATTTTTTTAGGGGGGAGGGGGGGGTCGATCATTCATTGTGAAAGTTAATCCTTTATAAAGTGTAAGACAGATTTGCACAAAAGATTTGTTTCATTGTATATTGCAAAACGATATAAATGTATAGAGATAGAGTATCACAGGGCAAGGCGATGCAAATACTGGTCTCCTTCTTGAAATTCTTTGCAAAACAAAACGTTCACAATATTCATACAAATAGAAGTAGCTTGCACATAATATTGTTACTGATGAATAGAATGTCGACATATCTCCAGAGCAATTTCAAAGTATACAGTTTTTGATCGGATAAGATACACTAAATTTATGAAGGGCCATTCTGGTCCCGATGCAATTGTGTACATGTTCGCTATAAAAGCGTGTTACAGTTGTTTACATACTTAATTAAGGCAACACGTTCCAGTTGGTTCGCGTACCCTAGACCAACGCGTTGCTGTTGGTTCACGTACCCAAGAATAACGCATACCAGTAAGTTCACGTAGTCTAGAGAAACGCGTTTTAGTTCATTCGCGATACAGTTACTAGAACAACGCGTTTGAACGATTATACGTTTGGAGTTGTTAACGTTAAAAACGATATCCCTTACATTTGTAATGAATTCGTCTGTTCTAGGAATTTCAAAACATGTTAACCAGTTAAATTTGCACTTTCTTCAAAATTTCAAATAGAGGACACAAACACGAGGCAATTTTTGAATGATATCAAATGAAAATTTAGTGCCTCTTTCAGAGAAGTATTGTATTCAGACGACAATAAAGTTTATCGAGAGGTTATAGGTATTTTTATGTGCCTTTATTATCAGACTATGTCCTGAACCATTGATTTGAATCAAATTTATGGCCAAACCTTGTAAAGATCCGTCTAAACTTTATTTAATTAAAGGTTTTTTATTAACACATTAGTATGATCTTTGAACATTATTTTTATTCAGTACTTACATTGATTTTTTTTTTATTCTTTGATACAAAGATTTGGTTTGGAAATTTGAATGTACTTTTTTTGGGGGGGTTATTTTTTTGTCGTTTGGGTTTTGATTGGTTTTTTTTTTTTTGACTTTTTTTTGTCGCTACTTGCGTTGATTTTGTTTTTAATATTTTGAATTTTAACATAATATATGTTGCTAAACTTATGGTCCTACATACTGTCGATACTACATGTATGTACTTATATTTTGGCATTGTACAAGGTTATGCTTTTCTGAGACTGTTTATGACGTCTTTCCACAGAATCCATTAGATGTGTACTGATTGATACTTTTGGCTTTGGCCTAGCTTTTAGGTTCTGCGAAATGTCTTAGGTTAGTACTTTGAGTCTTTTGTCTGTACAGTGGAGATCACTTCTAACCAAACTAACCTAACCAAAACCTAACTCATCAAATCTGTCAGAATCTGTCAGGAGAACTGTTCTAGGACAGTATGTAGAACTGTCATCCTGACACCTTTTAGACAGTTCTAGCTAGAACAGTTCTAACCTAGAACTGATTTGGTTAGTTCTACCTAGAACTGATTTAGACAGTTCTACCTAGAACTGATCCTGACAGTTCTACCCTAGAACAGTTTTAGACAGTTCTACCTAGAACTAACCAAATCTTTGATAAGTTCTACGACTAGAACAGTTCTACGACTAGTACAGTTCTGCGATTAGAACTGATTTGGTCAGTTCTACGGCTAGAATTGATTTAGTCAGTTCTATCCATAGAACAGTTTTAAGAACTCTTTGTCTTAAATATAAATAAGTCAAAATAATATAATATATATTAAAAAAAAATCAGTGACGTCATTTAGAACTGTTCTACAATCCTGACAGGTTTGGTCAGTTCTACGGCTAGAACTGATTAAGTCAGTTCTGCTGACAGTTTTACGGTTCGAACTGATTTGGTCAGTTCTGCTTACAGTTCTACGACTAGAACTGATTTGGACAGTCCTACCTAGAACAGTTTTAGAGAGTTCTACCCTAGAACTGATCCTGAACTGATTTGGTCAGTTCTACCTAGAACTGATTCTGACAGTTCTACTTAGATCAGTTCTAAGGTAGAACTGTTTTAGGACAGCTTAGAACAGTTCTATGACAGATTATTCTGACAGTTCTTATGAGAGGTTAGAAGTGATTTCCACTGTATGTTAGTTTTTTGTGTTTCGTGGCAATTTGATGAGTAAAGTCATTTCCAACTGCGTTTTTTCAGTTTGTTGCTGCGTTGTGATGTTACACCAGTCTCAGGTTAGGAGATGGACTGAGTCGTCACAAACATGTTTTATCCGGTCACGTTCAGTACATTCATCTACAAAAGTCAGGAGTCCGGTACCTGGATACTGTATGTGTTTTGTTCATTGTAAATGACCTTATGGTGACCCTTAGTTAATTACCTCCACGTCTTTGGACTTTTGTGAATAGTTGACCCTTTTACTATCCTACCACATCTCCTTACTTTTTATATCAATAAATGATTTATCATTTTTTTTAATTATTAAAGGTTTTTAAAACCAAATTACATGAAAACGTACATCGATATACTTTTGCATATTATAATTAAGTTCTATATGTCTTTTTTTTTAATCTTAATGAAATTTTTCGGTTATTTCCTCATTATTTATGATTTTTTTTATCGAATATGTATTTATTGTATGGACTATACAATTTGTACTAAATAGTAACAAGTAAAAATAATAACCCTTTTGTTAAATATTTATTAATTGAATATCAAATATTGTACGGAATCTTACCATTAGGACATTATTGGTATTTTCAAATAACTAATATGGCGCTTAGAGCAGGTCAAGGAAACATAATTGATAGTTGTCACTTTAGATATCACCTTAATATCGTTATTCCTATACTTGAATAAGACCCAACACTAAATGAGTATGTATCAGTAACAAATGTATGCATACATGCATTCAATGTATATATGTTTCTTGGTTTCGTGTCGCATCTACAACAGTAGATATTGGTTTTATACTAAAAGTCTATCGCTAAATTGTGTGTGCATGAATTTGATTTCTTGTGTTTTATTCTTAAACTTTTTGCTGTTAATTAATAAAGAATATGTACGTACATTTGTGTAGTTACTAAATTAAATTTTGAAAACAGTTACTGAACAGATTTTGTCAAGTGCACTTGTTTTTATTCTGTTTGTCATCGTGTTCTCTATTTTGTTAGTTTTTGATACAAATATTATAATTAGGATTTTCTTTTTCATTGGTATGTAGTGCTGCATTGTTTTTTTTTGGAAGTTGGTTTATATAATTATCATATGTCCAATTTGGTTTAAATCTGTTACGCATTATTGTGCATTGTTATCTATATCTGATGTCTAATTTGAGTCACATCTTTGCTGAATCCAGGGTTTCTTTGCGCTAAGAAACGACAGCAATTGTATTTTCTAGCATAAGCGACGTGGAACTAATGAATTAGTAAAAACTTATCACAGATACCAGGCTTATATTTTGGTACGTTAGACGGTTTTGTTCCATCAGTGGCAATCGAATCAAAGAATACATCGGGTATCCGTATCCAAAACCGCGGAGAGATCCGATTCCCGAGGGGTAATTATGCTTCGTTGGAAACGGATCCTGATTTTACCTAGTATACTCAACGTTACAAACTTTTCATTAATTTCTCCTCGGGATTCGGACCGGGATACCCGGTATGAAGAAGTATTATTAGATATGTATATGTTATGAGTGATTTGTTATAGCCTGGTGACCAGAGAAAGCATTTTAAAATGTAATCGTCTACACGACTTGTAGTATATAGCATTTAATTCGATATGCTGAGTACTTTAAAAATGTATTGGTCGTTAAATGAAAATATGGTGCCGTTTTTCGAAATCAACGATTTTTCACACAAATTCTCATTTAATTTGTTTTAATTTTTTTCTCAAAGACAAAAATGCAAAATTGGAAAAGCTTTTTCTTATTTAACTTTCATTTTTCAAGTTATCATGAAATAAATTGTCCTCAGAAACATAATAATGGTTTCCAAAACTGAAATGGCTTTAATTTTAATAAAGATGCTCTTTTTCAAATCATTCAGACAAAGGCCCAAAATCCATACCAAATTTACCAAAAGATATGAAAAATCTGTATTTTAAAGAGAAATATCTACATTTATAGGCCAGTAACATAACAGTTGGGAATTTGATTTTTGGTCTCTTGCCAAAGTTGCAACAATGATTAAAGGACTTTTTGATTAGGTAAATTAAACATCGCATGAAAAACTTTATTTAAATATGTGAATTAATCCTTCAATATCTTCTTTCAGAGTATGCATATGAACGTTTTCACATGATTCTTATTATAAGCACGGAACATAAATTCGTACATGTAGGGTTCTGCTAGACACAAACACAATGTTATACATTGTTATTTCCCTTTACTGGAACACACACGATCATGAAGAATGTCTGCTGACGTATTTCCTTCTAGGTAGTCGGCATTCAATGTAAATTTGATAGATCTCCATCCGTATTCCATACGTGAAGGTAGGTGTGGTTTTGCCAGATAAGAAACATGGTTTATTTTGATCAGTACGTAAGGAGAACAGAATGATATGCTGTCGAAATGCGCTTTTGAGGACGGCAATCTGACCAGACTTGTATTGCTTCTTGTAGCATGTTTCATCTTTAGTTCGGTAATGTCCTGGTGAGAGGATGCGTATTTTTTTTCTTAACATGATGCCTTGCAACTAACCGTCTAGAACATGATATGGTAGTAGTCTTGTCTAATTCAACACTGAATCTTTCAACACAAATTGTATAGCAGGTGTGCGTACTAGAATGATGTTGAAGACCATACTTGTTTGGACCTTGAGATGTATTGTGGTCTTTGTCGTCTTCTTGTTGTAAGTACCATCCATTTCTACATCTACATAATACTTCTTTACTTCAATATGTTGAAGAATACGAAAAGGCACATGTTGAGGTTTTTTTTAAAAATCTGAACATATTTACAATGAATTTCATTTTGGTATATAAATAGACAAAAACATGTTTTTGAGCT